ATCTATCGGTTATTAATATGATTCTATACAAGTTTTTGAAACTAAGACGTCAGTATGCATTTACCATATTAGGAGAGTGTATAGAAATATATTTATAATTTTTTCTTGCTATTAGGCATTCCAACGACCTGTCAAACAATAGGTGCCAGTGGGAAATTCTTGTATATTTGTGGGAAATTCTTGTATATTTAAGGGGGTAGCGACATAGTCTTGCAACTTGGACGCTATTTTTATTCGAAGTAGTACTCGCCAAGCCTGCCAATTTATGAAGAAATGTATAGGTGGGTTTTTTAAATATTATTTTTGTTGTGTTTGACATAAAATATTTAAATGTAATCCATTATTCATGATTTTACGTAAAGTAGATAGAATACACTATATGTCGCCACCCTTAGATATACCAAACCTGCCCACTGGTAATTCATTTGTTTGGAATGCCTAATTGAATCTTAGTGCAGTGATTTATTCAATGTCTTTACCTACTTTTTATTAAATTTAGTAAATTAGATTCTGCATGGTCTAGAGTAGTGGTCGCCAACCTGTCGATCGCGAGCTACCGGTAGCTCGCGGAGGCAATTCTAGTAGCTCTCACAACGATTTTAATTTAAAAAATACAAACTGCAAAAATCAGAGAAGCTTCCGAAAATTCCACAAAAAAAATCTAATTGTCATAATATTAAACATGAACAGCGGCAACGTTGCGGTGAGCGATCTGTCGCTGACGCCATCAAGCTAGAATCGGCTAGAACCGACCAGCCGGACATCGCGTTAGTGTTCGAGAACGATCAGGATTGCTTTGAACGGGATAAATACGCACGACGCGGCGACATTGCGCTTAGTTTAAAACTGAACGCGTAACCAACGTCCAGCGGTTGGGTTAGTAGAGAACAACAAAAAATATTATTATGGCAAGCAGTTGTAAGAAGGTAAAGACATACCACTTTCATTCGGAATGGGAAGAACAATACTTTTTTACAGAAGTTAAAGATTAAAATGTGTGTTTATGTAATACTTCAGTCTCCGTTGCTAAAAAAGGAAATATTGAGAGACATAAAAATGTACATTCTTATTTTGAAAAATCATTCCCACTACATTCTGCCGCCAGAAAGGAGAAACTGAAACAGTTAAAAAAGCAGTTAATCGGACAACAATCAATATTTTTAAGAACAGTCGACAAAAATAAGGCTGCAACTGAAGCATCGTACCGTGTGTCCCAGATAATTGCAGAAAAAAAGAAACCTTATGAAGACGGGGAAATGATAAAACAGGCGTTTTTAGAAGCTGCTGATTCGTTATTTGCCAACTTTAGAAATAAAGACGAGATAGTTTCAGCTATAAAATCTATGCAACTTTCTGCTAATACAGTGATAAGACGTGTAGAAGTAATGAGCAATGATATTTTTTTACAGTTAAGAAAGATAACTGTGTTTATTTTTCACATGTACTGGATGAATCAACAGATGTCGTTGACACTGCCCAGATGGCCGTGTTCGTCAGGATGGCTTTTAGTGATTTTACGATTAAAGAAGATCTTTTGAAGTTTATTCCACTGAAAGGACACACTACTGGACAAGAGTTGTTTTCTCATTTAAAAAATATTATTTCTTTCGAGAAAATTCCAATATCGAAAATGGTAGGCTTGACAATCGATGGCGCTCCAGCTATGGTGGGTTGTGATAAGGGTCTGGTGGCGTTATGTCGTAAAGATGAAACTTTTCCGCAATTTCTCTGTAACCACTGCATTATCCATCAGCAAGCATTATGTGGAAATTTCCTGAAACTAAACAACGTTATGAAACTGGTGGTAAAAATTGTTAACAAGATTAGAGCTCAAGCGTTACAAAGAAGATTATTCAAAACCTTGGCCGATGAAGTTGACTGTCAATACGAGGACCTATTCCTTCACTCTGAAGTCCGATGGTTAAGTAGAGGACGGGTGCTGAAACGTTGTAATGATGTCCGACTCCGGAACTAGAAAATTCAATCTGGCTTAGAGATTTTGGTTTTCTCGTGGACATTACAGAGAAATTAAACGAACTTAATTTGCAGCTTCAGGGGAGAGACAAAGAACTAGCGGAAATGATTTCTGATATAAAAGCATTTATCAAAAAGCTGAAATTTTGGGAACAAAACCTAATTAACAGCGATGCTAAGCATTTTCCTATTCTTTCAGAAAAAATATCTCAAAATCCATTAGAACCCTATGACAGCAAATATCATGTAGAAATAGTTTCTACCCTGAAGAATAACTTGAAAAATCGTTTTAAGGATTTCAACGAAATGGCTTTAGTAGCGCAGTTTGTTGTTTCACCCTTTATGGAAATTGATATCCAACCGTTTGCAACTTGTGTTATGCAGAACTTTGGCGAAGACATCGCTGCAACAGAAATGGAAGTAATTGAGTTTCAAAATGATTTAGCCTTAAAATCGTTAGTTTCAAGTACCAAATGTATCTGGCCTATTGTAAGTTTTTTTTTTCAATTAAATATTCATTTAAAAAATAATCAAATACTTCCACTGCGACAGTCAGGTTTTCGTTCTGGCTATAGTTGTGCTACAGCTTTACTGGATGTCACTGATGATCTCTTCAGGGATATTGATGTCAAAAAAACGGCAGCACTTGTTATGCTAGATTATTCCAAAGCATTTGATACTATTAATCATAAAATTTTTCTCTCAATATTACATTTTATTGGTTGCTCTAATGATGTTATCACACTTTTTAATAGCTACCTGTATAACAGGAAACAATTTGTGGTTACTGATGCAGGCTCATCAAATACTAAGCAGATTTCCTGTGGAGTTCCTCAGGGATCAATACTTGGGCCATTATTATTTTCACTATATACCTCCAACTTTGAGAATAGTATTAGGAATGGTAAGCCATTTTTTTATGCTGACGATACTCAAATTAAATTTTCTTTCAATCATAATGATTCCTTAGAAGCTAATAATCATATTAATGAAGATATTGACAGACTAGTTAAACTTTCAAATATTCATCAACTTAATATTTATTCAGCTAAGAGTGTAGTAATGTTATTTGGTAAATACCGACATCAACTACAAAATGAAATGCAGATTCTAGTTGATGGGAATATTTTATCATTTTCCTCATCTGCTCGCAATTTAGGTTTAGTAATTGATAATGACTTGAGGTTTAAACTTCACGCTAACAAGTGCATCCAAACAGCTTACATGAATTTAAAAATGCTTTACCCACATCGACATATTCTTCCAACTACAACAAAATTGTTATTAACAGATTCCCTGGTTCTGAGTAATTTTAACTTTTGTGATTCAGTTTATGGGCCCTGTTTAGATAACGCAGACATACTTAGAATTCAGAGAGTACAGAAATCTTGTTTAAGATTTTCTTATGGAATACGGAAATTTGATAGAGTCTCTCATAAACTCAAGGATTCAAACTGGCTAGATATGCAATCCAGACGAAACTTACACTCGGCTAATTTGTTTCATTCTGTTATTTTACATAAATCCCCTCCATATCTTTTTAATAAAATAAGGTATCGTTCTGATGTTCATAACCTCAATTTACATTTTTGTGGTCGTATCTCACCTCCAATACATAATACTGCTATTTTTAGACGGTCTTTCACTTATAATATTTATGCAATGTACAAGGTTATCCCACAACATTTTAAAGAAATGTCTGTAAGTAAATTTAAAAAATTTTACAAAAAGTTTCTTCTTGACACAGCAGAGTGATAGCTACTTTTTAGAATGTCTATACTTTTTTTTTCTCACTATCATTTGTGTTTATATTTATATTGTTTTTTGTACGATGTCCTGTGGCGTTGGTAATACTCAGGGCTGGTGCTTTGATCAGTATCCACTGTTCACCAGTCCTTTTTGCAACCTTCTTTGGCACTTTTTTCTGAATATTTTTATATGTATAAAAAACTGGAAGTTGCAATATTCAGTTCTATGCCGTGTTGCCTTGAAAGTGAAAGCATTATTCAGTTCAACCTATTTGTGTGAATCTTCTTTTTCCAATATGAAGTTTATTAAGAACAAATATCGCAATCGACTTACAGATGAACATTTGGATAATTGTATTCGAATGGCTGTATCAAATTATACTGCAAACATTAAAAAAATTATCGATGAGTCTGAGTGTCAGCCTTCTCATTGAACGTGCTTTTTTATTTTTCAATGTTTATGTTCATGATAGTGCGTTACTTTTTTATTGTTATTATTTACTATTTTTAAATCTTACGTGACATGTCGTTGTGGCTGGATAAAAGTTTGTGTTTATTTTTCAAACACCTTCGTTTGGTAGGTAGGAATGTAGCTATGAACAAGTACGTACTAGTAATATTAGTTATTTTGTTATTAGTTTATTATTAGTATCTATGTATTATGTATTACCAGTTAAATAGTAAAATAAATACATATAATGATAAATTAAGTGTGGATTATTTCATTTACGTTGCGTTACGTGGCTTCCGTGTGGGTAGCTCGCTGTTTATTCCAAAATAACAAAGTAGCTCAACACATTGAGAGGTTGGCGACCACTGGTCTAGAGCATCGAGATTCTTCGAGACAGGACTGGATTTATCTAGGGCGTAAAACTTTTGTATATAAATGAATTATTTTGCCGTTACTTAGTTTAAAGATAAATATCAATAGTAAAGATAAATGGTTAAAGTAAATATAAATCAGTAATTTTGTTAAAAAATTCATTATTTATTAAATTAGTTGATGTATTTAGTGAGTAAATATTAGAATATGTAAACTGTTTAAAATAAACATGACAATGTTATAACTCGTATATTATATGAGTTTCTAAATTCTGATAGAATGATGCATATCTGATTCTAATAAATTTTTGTATTTCTTATTTTAGTACCTATTTTTAGTTTTCTTAGCATATGCGGCGATTTGGTTCAGCCTACAGGCGGCACATTTCTAAATCCGCCCCTGATGGTATACAAACCAACCAATATTGATAGCTATTTTAGTAGGTAAAAATTATTTCTGGCCGAGAGTAATATATGTTATCTTATTTAAATAAATATTTATCATGTCATAGATAGGATACTATATAAATTGGCAAATGTAAAATATTAATTGATTTGTTTAGTGAGTGTATAAGAACTAAGAAATATGGCTAAAGAAGAGGTGCTCCTCTACGCCTACAAATTATTAGACGAAGCAACGCCGCTAAAGGCCTGGCATTTGAGTGTTTTCGTGTTTGATCTTGAATTTTCTTACAATGGAAATGATGGTGTAACTTATGATGAACCTATAAATAATCATGTGCACAAAACCATAAATATGGGTTTTACCAATAAAACTAAGAAAGAATTTATCAGTCATGTTGAAAAAGAATTGAAAAACGAATTTACAAACTTGAACTATCATGTATTGAGAAAAAACTGTCAACATTTTGCCCAAAGAGTGCTGAATTTCCTAGAAATAGAAGAACCAATTCCTATAGAGTATACCGTGCTTCTCGAAGCAGCGAATGTCGTAGGTACATTTTTTGATAATCTCGTTTAAATGTTAATCCTTTTCCTCTTATGAAGATCCTATTTGTGAAATAATACTTATAAGCGATTCAAAAATATTACTAGTGAACCAGTTTGATGGGTAAATCTGCCAGTTTCTCACTTTTTATTTTCATATTTTTTCTTTGTAATGATAATTATATGCTTTACTTAATTTTGACACATTATGTATTTTTGTATTTCCAAATAATGTAAAAAATACTCCAAAATGAATAATTTAAAAAAAATAAAAAATACACGTAATTTATTAATCCATATACTTTTGAGAAGTATGTATTTATTATTTCACTAAGTCTAATCGTAATTATTTACATTTTTGTTTTATTTATTACTATTATCATTATTATGTCACGCATATTATTTTATACAATATATAAATATAATCTTTGTTTTTGTTTTTTTATCTATTTAAGATTGACTTTTAATATTTACTCCTTTTTCCAAGACAGGTAAGAAAATAGTAGTAGTAGATGAAAAGTTTACCTATCAATTTAGAATATCAGTTTACAATAAAAACTAGTAAAGAAAAGTAGTTTGGATTTCGTAAAAAAATAATATTTTTATCTAATGGATTCAATGGCTGAAAAAGTTTGAAACTCACTGCTTTTTAATTTACTTTGAACTGATTTGTCCAAGTGAACTTGGCACTACAACATTGCAAGAATTGTACAAAAATTTGTAAGAGAATTGTCCACCGTTTGCCTATTATTGGCCATGAAATAAAGTTTTTCCACCCTGTCCAAACAAAAGTAAACATTTTGATAGTTTAATTCTCGCGAGCATTGCAGAAGCTTTTAATGAGTTTTTTATTAATGTTGGTAAATCATATGCAAAACAAATTAAAAAGCCTAATACACCACCACCACTTAGAGAAAAAATCTAAATTCATTATTTTTATTACCTGTAAATGAAAAAGAAATAATAACAATAATTAAATCACTAAAACTTAAAAAATATCCAGGATATGTTTATATGAAATCAGAAGTACTTAGAAAAACCTCAGATAAAATATCAAAACTATAAGTCATATCATAAATAGACTTTTATTACAAGTACAGTACCTCAAGAATTTAAAATAGTGGTTATTATGCCGGCATATAAAAAAGGCGATAACAAAAATTAAACAACTATAGACCAATCTCAATCATAACATCTCTCGCTAAAATATTTGAAAAAGCCTTAAAAAACAGAGTTGTTAAATTTTTAGTAAATAATAAGGTAATTTCTGAAAAACAATTCGGATTTAAAGAAGTTTTATCAACTAATGATGCTATAGGAGAACTTGTAGATAACATTTCAACGTTCTTAGAGAAAAGTAACCCAACTTTATGTGTATTCTTGGACCTTGCTAAGACCTACGATACTGTGTGTCATATACTCAGATGTTACAGGCCTTGGAGGATGCAGGAATACGTGGAGTACCCAATAAATTATTTCGAAACTATTTATCAGAACGCTTACAAGTAGTAAAAATTGATAATATCACAAGTTCAGAAAAAACTTTTAGTTACGGTTTACCTCAAGGAACTGTCCTGGGATCAATTTTATTTTCAATTTATATTAATATAATGCTTACTTCGGTTTCTAGTGAAAAAATTATCAGCTTTGCAGATGACACTGCTATCCTATATACTGATAAAACATGGAACGATTTAAAAATTAAAGCCGAAAATTATTTAGAACAGATATTTGACAGGTTTGGTCATCTGTCACTGACTATAAATTATGAAAAAACATTTTTTTGCCATTTTCTAATAGTATAAGATGCCTACCAGAACATAAAACAATAACGATACAAAACTCCTAACAAAATATTATTATAAACTCAAAAGAAAATTATAAATATCTAGGAGTGACCATAGATTCGCATTTAAAATGGGAAATTCACGTGAATATACTAACTAAAACTCTTAAGACAGTTATTATACCGTTTTAAATACTTAAAAAATATTTTAGATTTACAATACTTAAAAATTTTATATTACGCTCTAGTTGAATCAAGGTTAAGTTATGCCATAATGAGTTGGGGAGGTACAACATATTGTCATCTTAAACAACTTGATGTACTACAAAAAAGAATTTATAACAAGAAAATTACTTACCCATCTAATAAATTATTTTTAGAAACCGGAATACTAGATGTTAGGCATATGTTTCTATACATCAAATTATTCAGTTTATTTATAAAAATAAAAATCTGATGTGTCCAACACATGACTTTCCTATCTAGTTATTATAGGCATTTTCCGGTTATTTTGTACAACCTATTGCAGCATCTCTATAAATGTTTAGAGGATAAACTAAATATATACATTTTACACATACATCTACCTCGAAACATTTTTCTATAGATATTCATTGAAAACGAAAATACAGAAAAATTTAAATTTAGCACTTTTCCATTACGGACCATTTTAGAAAAATCATGTATAAACAAAAATTATAGAAATCGATATCGCAAACAACTTTTAGTTCAACAATTTTCATAAAAATCAGAATTTTGCACATTTTGTCAAATTTCTCGAATACGGACCATTTCAGGAAATTTTGACATAAAACAAAAATTATAGATAATAATATTAGAAGTAACTTTTATTTGAACAATTTTCTTCTCCAAACATAAATAACATATATTCCATAAAATATAAAAACGGCCTCCCATAAAGTACCCCCCCAGATGTTCCAACTTTGTCCAAAATCTAATCATTTCACGTCAGGCCGAAATAAACCTTAAGTTTAAAATTTAATGTTTTTTCCTTTATCCGTTTTTGAGTTTTCTTCAAATTTCGAAATTTACACATTTTCTCAAATATCTCGAATACGGTCCATTTTAGAGAAATTATGTATAGGACAAAAATTATAGAGAATTATATTATAAACAACTTTTATTTGAACAATTTTTATAAAAAATTATGTTTTTTACATTTTGTCAAATTTCTCGAATACGGACCATTTTTGGAAAATTTTGCATAAAACAAAAATTATAGATAATTATATTAGAAGTAACTTTTATTTGAAGAATTTTCTTCTCCAAACGTAAATAACAGATATATTCCATAAAATATAAAAATGACCACCTATAAAGTACCCCCCCAGATGTTCCGACACTGCTCAAAATCTAATCAGCTCATTGGACGCTGAAACAAAGCTTAAGTTTAAAATTTGGTGTTTTTCTGTGTATCGGTTCATGAGTTATGCGTTATACAGACACACACACACACACACACACACACACACAGACACACACACACACACACACACACACACACACACACACACACACACACACACACACACACACACACACACACACACACACACACACACACACACACACACACACACACACACACACACACACACACACACACACACACACACACACACACACACACACACACACACACACACACACACACACACACACACACACACACACACACACACACACACACAGACATCATCGCGAAAATAGTCAAAACGGATTCAGGGGACCTCAAAACGTAAAAATCCGTCGAAAACTCGAGGTCGAAAAAAATCATGATTCCTATACTTTCCTTATATCTGTATACAGATAGGAAAGTAAAAAATTGTTTGAAAAAGTTAATCATGACTAGCCCTCACGGTACAAAGAAAATAATAATATAAAAATTTAGCCAGTACAGAAAATTATTAGCTTACGATGTCATACTCATCTGTCACGGAAAATTTATAACTGCCTGATCTGCCTGAAGTTTATAAAATACCTATATCTAGTCAAAATTAATTGAAATTAATATCTAAAGAAATTCTTCTCTTCGCTGCTCCCCCCTTCCATAAAAAGTTAAAAGTTTTTTTGAACTGTTTTAGGTAGAGAATTGATTTTAAATCGGGTGGTGGTGAATTGTAAATTTTTGGTCCCATATATGAGTAGGCTAGTTATCCAACTAACTTATGCATATAGGGAATTAACTTGGAATTTTTACTTCGAGTATTGTAGGAGTGGATCAGCTGCATACATTTTTTGTTAGAATGATATATGTTTATCTTTAAATAAAAAGTTGTCGGATATCTAGAATTTTCGATTCGGTAATTCGGTATACAGCAGAATTGTAAAATTTTTACTGAATATCAGTTTTAAGAACCTTCGTTGGATAATTTCCAATGTATGCATATGAATTTTTAAAGCATTACCCCATACAAAAAGGCCATACCTCAAGTGACTCTTTACCAAAGCAGATTAAATCAGTTTAAGTTAATTAAAATTAAGTATTGATTTTAAATATTTAAATTTGAAAAGAATAAATCTTAGTTTTTTACAAATGAACGTAATGTGTTCATCCCATTTAAGATGGCAATCTAGAATGATTCCTAAATATTTTGTTTTTTATTTGATTAATTCTAAAGTGACAGTTATTATTAATAAAATTTAAACTATTAAAAAAAGGTGCTGATGGTTTATTACAAAAGAATGGTAAGTAAAACGTTTTATCTACATTGATGGTCAGTAAATTTGAGTTAAGCTAATTTTGAATTTTAGGAAAATCACTCTCCACCAGGTCTTGAATATTTTGCCATGTATCACTACTATAGAAAACAGCTGTATCGCCTGCAAAGCCCAAAATCTCACCTTTAGATTTAATTGAAAATAGATCATTAATGTATAAATTAAAAAGGAGTGGGTCTGGAATAGTACCTTGGTGAACTCCATATCTTACCGGTAAGAAATTAATATATGTATTACTCACTCTAACCATTTGTGTTCTTCCATTTAAGTAGGTTTTAAATAGGTTTAGAGGAATATTTCTTATACCATAGTTATCTAGAGCATCAACAAGCAAAGGATGACTGACGGTGTCAAAGGCCTCTGAGAGGTCTAGAAACACGCAAAGACAAGGTTTGCTTCTGTCAAGAGTATGGTTAATTTTTTATGTCAGAGTCAATAACGCGTCCTCAGTAGATTTCTTTTTTCTAAATCCATACTGATTCTTAGATAATAAATTGTATTTATTTAAATATGAAGTTAGGCGCGTCTCTAGAACCTTCTCAAATACCTTCGACAGACTGGAAATAAGGGAAATGAGCCAATAGTTTGTAGCAATATTTTGATCACCTTTTTTGAAAACGGGAACGACAATAGTTTCTTTTAGGAATGATGGTTATATTCCATAGATTTATTAATTACCTAAGCAAAAGGTTCTTCAATAAAAGGAGAAATAATTTGTAGGATTTCAGATGTAATTTGATCAATTCCCGGTGATTTTTTAGTTTTTAGATTATTAATTATATTTTTTATTTCATTTTTATTAGTTATTATACAAAACTATTTGGAACAGAAATTCTTGGGGGCAGGTAATTGGGAGGTTGTATAATTTTATTAGCTA